GTGAGAGCGCCCCCCCCCGTCCATCTCTCTGTGCGGCAGCCTCTTCCTGTCCTTTAATTCCCCACTTGCGCGCGCCGCGCCGCGGCGCCAAAAGTCCTATTGCCCTCTTCGAAATCGCCATGCGCCCAGGCGTCTCTGACCGGACCAAACAGTTCTCCCGCGTGAGGGCCCCCTTCCACGAGCGCAACAATGGGCTGCCCCCCCGCCGCCATTGCTTTCGAGGGTTACCCTTCGTCGCCCAGCGAATAAATCACACCGCCGACGTCGATCAATACTCAGCTCCAAGTGAGCTGGGCGCCCCGGCAGCGCGATGCGACGATTTGCCTTCTCGGCCGCGCGTAATCAACTGACATCGCCGGCGCGCAATGGTCGGGTAATCCTCGCCCTCTTTCAGCGCGATCTTCTCCTCGCTCTTCCTATATCGTAGTGGGGGCGCCAACTTATGTGTTGCATGTGGGCTTCCTGATGCAACTCAACTGTTTCTTTTCCTCGTCTCAAATCGTTCGCGAACCTCGCGGGCCCTTCGGGCCCCGCCGGAGCAAACACCGCCCGCGTCTCTTAATTCGCTGCCCCCATGCTCGCCCTCCTGGCCGCCCTCAGAATGAATGGGAAGTAGATTTTGACTCGGGCTCGGGGGCCCAGCCGGAGTCCATGGAACAAGTCCGCCATGAGTTCCCTGCCTCGGAAAAGCCGCGCATCCCTCGTCGCCCCCTTCCTCCACTTGCCACGCATTCTCCTGGCGCGTGGCCCCGTGAGTTAGTTGCCGTTCTCAAATTGCCGTTCATCTCGCGAGTCGCCATGCGATCCCCTGCTTTGACCACCTCGCGCGCAGCCCCAACTACCATTAAGACGCCGGCGACTTGGATGGGCGCGCTCACAGTGGATGCCTGTCTTATCCCCGCGCATAGTTCCGTTGCCCACGTTTTCTGATGACTGGCCCATACGGCGCGCCGCCCCCTCGTCCGCCCCTGGAAACCTCCGCGGTCCAAGCGTGCCATTGACCGCCCTGCAGGGCCCCATCCAGCTCTAATAACTGTACCTCGGCGCACGCGTTGCTCGAGCTTTCCTAGTGCTCGATGTGCCCCGAGCTTCGGTTGCCCGAAAAAGCGCCGCGGTCGCAGTTGCCGCCGCAATTGCGCGGCGCAGATCCCAATGGACCCTTAGCCTCGCCCCCCGCCCACTCCTCTTCGTCGCGCGACGCGGCGCCCTCCACTCCGGCGCGTCTCTAGCGGGCCCTGGAAGTTCAGGGTCATCGGGGGCCCCGCTCGCGTCGGTAACTCCGCCCATCTGCGCGCTGTGGCATCCTGGCCCTGGGAAGGGAGGTGCCCCAGCATCTGCGCGGGCTCTCCTGGCCCCCCTGCCCCCCATTGACGGGGGGTGACCTCGCCGGCTCTCTAGAGGCGGCGGGCTGCAACGCAGCCCTGGGCGCCGCGTTTGCAGCGCCCCCCCTCGCTGATCGGCGCATATCCCCCCTGCCCCCTTCCCCCCGTTGCGCCCTCTTTGCCCGTCGCCTCCTGGATGACGCGCAGTGCCTCGACGACCCCCGCCTGGCTTTGCCTGCCTGCGCAACTTGGCGACCATTTGCACCCTCGCCGTCCTCTTTTTCCGCCTCCTCTTGCCCTAGGGCCCCCCCTGGGCCTGTCAAGCGCGAGCCCAGTCGCCCCTGCCTTCTCTCCTGCATGACTCGTTCGCGCTACCGTTCTCGCCGGCGCCCCCCATGTTCCAAGACGACTCGTTGCCGACCTCGACAAAGTAACCCGCGTCGACGCCGCTGGCGCCCAAATTTCCACCGCCGCCATCGTCTACTTGGCCCATGTCCACTGCGTCGGCATTCTTCGCATCGGAGCCAACGCTTCGCCCGCCCCTCGAAATTGAAGATCAGTTCCTGATGAGCGGCGAAGCTCAACAACTCTGGGGGCGCGAAGCAATCTCATTGGCACTCATCCTACACACCACCTGCGTGAGTCAAGATGCCATTGGAGGCTGTCTCCCTGAAGTATATCAGCGGCGACGTCTTCTCAATCGCCCCACGGCTCGATCTGCGCAACTACCGGGCTCGTCTTTCGTTCTGCTTCTGGGGGCGCATGGCGATATTCATCTCGCGTGAAAGCGTGGCTCTGGTGACCGCAATGCACCGCTTGAAATTTTCTGGGTGCGCCATCGAACCGACTCCTTCACGCTGACCCACGAGCTTCCCACGTAGCCCTGTTCTCAAACATCTGCCATTGAACAAGAGCCAGCGGTCTTCGTCCAAGCCCGCGCACTCATCGCCATCCAGTGCGTAATTATGCTTCGTCCCTCTTCGTTCGGCGAGACGGTCCCGTATTCTCTTGCTCTCAGCACTGGGTTGCGCGGAACGAACTCGGCCTTTCGTCCCATCGCGCGCCTTTGCTAGCCCCGGGGATGCGCGGCAAACGCATGCGCCGCGCTGCCCGCGCGCGTCGCGGCGCGCCGCAGCCGACCAGGCCAGTCCGCGCCTTTCCGCGCGGTGCCCACGCCCGCCGCGTCGCTGCGGAGGCTCGCGGGTTTCTAACCAGGACGTGGGGCATGCACCCCGCGCGTGGGATTTGACCGATCCGGACCCGCCCCGTCTTCGCCCGTTGCTGGGTCGCGCTGCGGGCGCCACCGAAGCCGCCCGAGGCGCCTGCGCCCTCCTGGCGCGGCGCCCGCGCCACGGGTCGCGGCGCCCGCTTCGGCGCGCACCAGAACGCTACGATTGCGAGCGCAACCCAACGACGGGTGAGCGGGGTGCTCAGGGGATGCGCGTGCGATTGGTAGCTGAGATTAGAAGGGCGTTCATATCAAAACTCGCCTGGGACACTGTGAATGCCTGGTCGTTGCCCACTGTCCTGAGATCTTGATTGGAAATGCACTTAGGCAACATATTCATGCACTCGTGGATGGACTTGAGCTCTGAAGTCTCCATTGCCGAAGCGGTTCGTGAGCATCCCCATCATCATCATCACCCCCTGGTTCCGCCCTGCGTCCCACTGTCGGCGCCATCCTCCGTTTCCTCCATATCTGAAGGGGCCCTGGGACACACGCGCACACAAATAAATACACACAAATAAAAGGACCCCCAAAATTTTCCCATACTTTCTGGGTTCATGTCTTCCCCCCCACTGCCCATCTGTTCAAATATTTTCTGGGGAATCGACGATTAATTGTGTCTGTGTGTTTGTTCGCCTCCTGAATATCATCGGCCACCTGTAGAACCCTTGGGCCGTCTTGGGGCGTGTTGGGCCGGCTTTCCCACCTCCTGGGCGCCATCTTGGTGCGGCCTGGTGCAACTCTGAAACTCGTCCTGGGCAGTCTGAAGACGCCGACAAGCCTAACAAACAATAGCGGGGGAATGCTTGAAACATTCCTGCTCCACTGGCTGGCGGAAGCAATCGCGCTCCGGATAAGAATGTGTCTGGGAACGTGCTAGTTGCAGCCGTGATGGGGCCCTTGTGGGGGCCTCTGTACGGCTCTTCTCGGGGTGTCGAAATCCACTCGGGGGGCACTCGTCGGGCCCGTTGGCCCTTTGTTGAACCCTTGCACGAGTGTCGGATCTCATGTTGGGTGCCGTTTGGTCTTTGAGCCACATCGGCCGCCTCTTAGGCCGCCATGGCACCCCATCGGGCTGTTTAAATGCATTCTGGGGATCGTTTTGAGCAGTGTTGTGGCGCTGGCAAGCGAAACGGCAAACAACGGGCAGATGCTTGAGAACGTCCTCATCCTCCCTCTCCTCCTCCTCGTCCTCGTCCTGTTCCTCCCCGTTCTCCTCCTCCTCCTCCTCCTCTTCCTCCTCCTCCTCCTCCGACGACGACGAGTGGCGGCAAACGTTACGTTCTCGGAGAGCGTTCTGGAGAAATGATGGCTGCAGCCGTGGAATTTGGTTTCCTTGGACTGGTGGCGACAATCCTGTTACCAGAACGTTATCTGGAATCGTGATGATTGCGGCCGTGAAACCGGAGTGGCGGCGACAATCACGTTCCCCGAAAGGTGTCCAGGAACATGATGGTTGCGGCCGTAGTGTGGGTTTCGTAATTGTTTATGTAGCGACATGCGGGGGGACGGGGCTCAGTTTGGGGGCAATCTTGGAAGGGGTCTTGTGCAAGGAGGCCGTATCCATTGTGCTGAACCGGCGCCTCCTCCTTTTCCTGCATACGCACGCCCCCGCGGATCCAATCCCAAGGGCATTCGCAAGAGCATCGTACAAGGCGCACACTGTTTCCTGTACAAGGCCTCCGCGCAAGACTCGCGCGAGCACCCTTTTCGATTCGAATGTGTAAAAAAATACGATCAGGATTTCCTATACATATCTCCATGTCTATATATATACAGAGAGAGAGAGAGAAACAAAAAAAACAAAAACAAAAAAAAGAAAAAACGCACAGCAAGAAATAGGCGCAAGGGAAGGATGGGGTTAATTCCCGGAGGTCTGCGGAGACCTTGAGACGCCCCCCGAATGGCAAAGCATTGAGCGTCCTGCCCCTCTTCTCCTGGTCCTCCTCCTCCTGGTCGTTCTCCCCTCCTTGCGACATCTTCAGCGCCGGTGGACGCGCAGCACGCGAAGGCCCATGGCGCGCCCCTCCTTTTACTGGGGGGTGTCGGGGCGGGCCTGCGGATCTCGTGCCCCCTCCCCCCCTTCCCCCCGCCTCCCCTCCTCCTTCCCCCTCTCCCTTTGTAGGTCTCGAGCGCACTTCTGCACGCGCGCGTGCAGCCAGCGTGTCCGCCAACGCAGCGCGCAGCTGGCCTTGGGAGGGCACCAGGAGAGTGGGCAAGGGAAGGACAGGGAAGGACAAGGAGAAGCGGGAGAGGGAGGGCAGGGAGGAGGAGGAGGAGGAGGAGGAGGAGGAGGAGGAGGAGGAGGGAGGAAGAGGTGGAGGAGAAGGGCGGGGCAGAAGAGGGCACAGGAGAAGGGCAGCTGTGGGGAGGGGCCCGGCCGACAGAGGAGGAGGGGGGGGAGGACGTGGCACGGCGGGAGCGCCCCGCAGGCCGGCCCCGGGTCCGGCCTCGGCCAGCCTGTCGCTGAGGAGGACGAGGGCCCAGCCTGGCGCCCCCCCCGCGGGTCCCGCTCGCCATCGTTCGGACGTCCCTTCCCTGTTTTTTTTGTTGGTTTCGTGCGTGGTTGTTTCGCCAAATGATCGAGGATACAGTCGGGGCCTTGACCTAAGGAACCCAAAATAAGGAACGAAGCCCCTTTTCTCCATAAGTTAAACTTCGATTTACGATCGAAAACATAAGGAACACCTGAGGCAAGCTGCGAAACACTTAAGGAACGCGGAGCCCCTCCACAACGAAAAGGGTTCCTTCTTCAGGGCCCCGACTGTACTCCTCGATGGTCCTCGCCGAAGGAAAAGAACGCACACGTCCGGGCGATGCCAAGCCCGTGGCGCGCGGGGCGGCGAGGCAGGAGCCCAGACCCCCCCCTCGCGTCGGCCACAGAGCACGGCGGGGGAGGCTCGGGGCGACGTTCGTCTCGGTTGGCCCAAGAGGGGGTCTCCTCCTCCTCCTCCTCCTCCTCCTCCTCCTCCTCCTTCTCCTCCTCCCCCTCCTCCCGTAGGTCCTGGGCCGTGACATGGCAGATGTGCTGCGACGGAGAAATGTATTACATTGTGCTGCAGTCAGCATGTCTTGCAAGCGAGAACCCGGCACTGCACTTGCGCACCGAAATGTATCTTGGACGCCCGAAGTGGGCACGGAAAGAATGGGGACAATGCCCCACAACAGATGTTGTCCCAAACCAACAGCGGCCGCTGTTGGGCAGGCGGCCTTCCGTCTCGAATGGGCACAGGCCGCGGCGACGCGGACAGCGAGCCCCGTTCAGGATGAACAGGAACCGCTGTTGGGCATCGCACCCGTTCTTTCCGTACCCATTTCGTTGGTGCAGAGAAATGTATTGCACGCCCACGATCTATGAAGGGGTCCCAGGGCACACAAATAAATACACACATAAAAAGAGTCCTCATATGTTCCCATATGTCTTGGGTTTCTGTCTTCCCCCCACTTCCCATAGTTTCCCATATTCTCTGGGAAATCGATGATGACTCGTGTCTGTGTGTTTGGTCCCCTCCTGAATCTGCTGCAGCCCCGCACATGGATTGCACCAAGAATCTACGGCACCGCCCCTCCTTGTCGCTGCACCCCCGTCTGGGTCAGCCAGAGGCTCGGCCGTCGGGGCCCCTGGGCCGCCCTCGGCGGTGGGCCCACCTACCTCCCTTTAGCCCACCTCCCCATCAGCGTCAAGTCGGGCCTGTCCCCCTACAGTGTGTAGGGGCCCCAGGACACACAAATAAATACACACAAATAAAACTATTCCCCATATTTTCCCATATTTTCTGGGTTTCTGTCTTCCCCCACATTTCTCATGTTTTCCCATATTTTCGAAGGAATCGAAGATTAATTGTGTCTGTGTGTTTCTTTTCCTCCTGATACAGGGGGATCTTCGCCGAACAATTCAAGATACCCCACGAAAATGTCCCAAAAAGGTAGAAAGATACTGAAAAAATTGTCCCCAGACTATGTTTGAAAGCATTTGTTTGACTATGTTTGGGGTATGTTTTATTTTTCGTCGAAGATCCCCCTGTAGGGGGACAGGCCCGACCTAATCGTAGGGGAAACGGCCTGGGACCGAAACCGACGGACCGGGACCTGCAAAAATGACGGCCGCGACGCCCTCTCGCGAACCGAGAACGGCCAATTCCCCAACCGACGTGTCGGGGCAGGAGGCCTGCCCACCCCCGATTTGCGGGCAAAACTTGTGTCCGTATCCACTGCAGCTTGGGGTTTCGGGCTCCCTTCCCCGGAAAGCCGAGGAGCACTGGATATGGCTAAACATCAGGCCCCCACGAGAGGCTCGCATTTTAGCCACGTCCAGTGCGCCTCGGCCCTGCGGCGCCCCTTCCACGAAAGTCCAAGACGCCCTGGATTGAAGTCGGGCCTGTCCCCCTACAGGGGGATTTTGGACGAAAAATAAAAACCCCAAATAATCAAAAAATCATCCTAAAATAGTCTGGGGACTATTTTTATATTTTTTGGTCATTTTGGATTATGCTGGGGGTATTTTTTTTCCGTCGAGAATCCCCCTGTAGGGGGACACGCCCGACATAACCCTGGATATGGATATAAATCGTGCCCGCACGACTGTTGCTGCACCCCCTCTCGGGAGCGGCCAAGAAGGGGGTGTCCAAGAGGGGGGGGTGCAAATCATGACCGGCGGCATGTGCGCGGCCCAGCGGGGGGGCCAGGGACGTAATGAAATAAGAAGAGTCGCCATGAAATCTGGGGAAATATACCATGGCACACGCCATGATATTCATCCCTAGGGAAACAAAAAGTGACATAAACATAAAAACTCGGCGGTCCGCGCGGATTTCTCGGATCGGCGCTGGGGCCCCCCGGCGGCGCCTCCGGCGCCGCCCCTGGCGCGCTCCGCGCGCCAGGGAGGGGGGTCCAGCGCCGATACGAGAAGTCCGCGCGGACCTCCGAGTTTTTATGTTTCTGTCACTTTTT